ATTCATTTATGCCTTCTGAACTGACTAGCTGTGCTCAATGATCACACTGATCACTGCAATTTTTTATTGCAGCTCAATAGTTGTGAATTTTGTTGGGTTGCATGGACAGCAACATCTGTGGAAAAAGTTGAATCTGGCTGAATTTTTTTTTGACACATTTGTTCATCAATACATTTTCTCCATTTTATTTTATGTCGTTGGGCCATTAAAAATCGGGTAACCTGAAAACACTGACCCCTGGTCCGCAGACCCGCACTAGCTACGGACCGGGTCCGCGGACTACCTAAGGACCGGTCCACAGACTACCCCTACGAACCCTCTCTACGGACCACCTCCCCAAAATAGAATAAAAATAAGAAACAAATATTTCACTTGCGGGTTGTCTAATATTTTAGATTACTCATGTCGGCAAAATTTCGAATGTTAGTGTGCAAATGTAACATTCATGGTTTCAGGCTCGGGCACAAGTTATATCATTACGCATTACCATTTCCTTTGCTGTGGCCATACAGTATATGAAAGACCGGGAAGCCTCCAAGAAGCCTCCAGGAAGCCTCTGGGAAGCCTTGAAATTTGTGCTCAAAGATTTCCCCTCTGCCTTTTTTTTCAGCCCATTCTCGTGCGGATTCGTGAACTCGTTCCAGGCTTCTTAATTTGCTCAGCGGAATTACAGATACAAACAAGCTTAAACAACCTAACAACATACCTCACATAGCCTGATTGAGTTAATAACTTTCCTTCTTTTTGTCATCGGCATCTCCTTACACGTTAAAAAGCTTTAAGGCATTTTTTTGGGGAGGGGGGGCGGGGCAGGCGTGGTAATTACATTTTCACAGTGTAACACTCGAAATTTCGCTGATATGGGTAATCTATTAGACAACAGATTACTGAAATATTTATTTCTTATTTTAACACTATTTTGGGGGTTCCGTATAGGGGGTCTGTAGGGGTAGTCCATGGACCGGTCCATGGGTAGTCCACACACCCGGTCTATGGTGGGGGTCTGCGGACCGGGGGTCAGTGTTTTCAGGTTACCCTTAAAAATCATGCCTGTTAGCAGGTGTTAAAAACATAACAACTACAGGTATTGTGTATGTAAAGGATGTAAAGCAATTTTTTATTTGTTCACATAGAGTACCTGGCTACTGCAGAGCAAGTGTTTCCCCTCCCACAAGGTTTGTTTCTGCTCAACTTTCAGGTGGATTGAAAATATTATTAGTACATAGACACCTTGGAGATGTGAAGAACTTAGCCCCTCATAAAGAGCATGGTGAGTTAAAAATGATTGTGATTAATACTGCTGTCCACCTGTACCTAGTATAGCACACTTTTTTGCGAAAGTCCTTTTCATGCTTGCTGGATAAAAGATGGAGAAATCTGACTGCGCTGAAGTGAGTTGGAAGTGTAAAAGCTTAGGTAAAGAAGGGAAGGGAAATGAGAAGTGTGGTAGCGTCTAGAAGCAAGCAAGTTGTGGTTGCCAAGAGCCAAAGGATTTTGTATAGTGTGATCGTCCGGGTGAGGGTAGTTCTGAAAAGAACTGTTGTTGGTAAATAGCGTTTGTCAGTCGATGATGTTATAAGTCTGGTCCGTTGAAAATGATCGGTCAGTTTAACCACGATGGTATTGGCTGAAAGACTTGTGTAAAGTTTGTCATCAGTCATATTTATCAGTCTTATTTATATTCACTTAGTAAGGGACTGGCCATGGTGCAGGTACTCCTAACTACAATTTATTGCTAGTAGCATACTATAGTGGAACACTTTTAATCCAGCCACTGACAGGCCACAAAGATCTGGCTGTATTAATTAACAGGTTGGCCATATTACCAGCCTCGAGTGTTGTTTGAATTATAGTAATTACTAGGAAATAACTGACTGAGCTTTTGTTGAGGCCAGAATAAATTGACTGTGATATTGAGGTGACCATGTTTAAATGGGTTGCCATCACTGTAAGGCAGGGTTCTACTCTGCATGTATCCGGGATGGAGTTTATTATCATGTACCAATGCAGAAGTTGTCGTGCCAGAAGGAGTCATACTGGGAGTTGACCATGCAGTAGTTTCTTGGTACGTACTTGTACAGTTATGCCATTAAATTTTTTTTTTTTTAATTTTTAATTTTTATTGTTATTGAAAAACAAATGATTACTTACATCGTACTTACTCTAGCTAAATTACAATAAAGTACAATATTTTAATCTACTACTTGCACTATTTACCATGCGAACTCACATTACAAGGATATGCTTAGGCTATAAAACAATGCCACAACTTGCACTACTATCAGTTCTCAGTTATTTACTTATTTATTATTATTATTATTATTATTATTATTATTATTATTATTATTACTTTTCTGAAAACATACATGTACACCACTGACAATTACAATTAAGATTGAGAAAACGCTACGTGCAAAAAGGAAAAAAAAGCTACAACTATTGAGGTGACCATAATAACTAATGGGTTGCCATCACTGTAAGGCAGGGTTCTACTCTATTTGGGATGGAGTGTATTATCCTGTACCAATGCAGAAGTTGTCATGCCAGATATTTCTTTTCTTTTTTTCATAGTACAAGGATCTCAGACAGATCAAATTCGTGAATTCGGTAGTTCCCAGTCCTTGTAAGACACAGCCAAATATTAAAATCTAATATTAATTAAAAATAGCTTCATTTTTATACCAGAAATAGGAAGGAATTCATGTCAGGATTCTAGTAACATACATGACTGTGTAACTAGACTGAACACTTTTACTCATACCTCTCATCTTGTACATACTCTTATGTATGACTATCTTAAGGTCCCTATAATTTAATAAATAAATGTATTTTTGATTCCAGACTAATAAAGACCGTACGCTTAGTATATTGCTCACTTCAATCTAGAATTGTAATGATCTTTTGAGCAGTTAAAATTCTTAATGACTGCTTCTCACAAGTCACCTCTCTGTGTGGTTTTGTTAGTTCCTTCGTTTGCTGGAAGGTACAAATTTGTTTGGGTTATTGGACAAGGACAATCTTTAATTCTGGTTGCTGCTGAGGTGAGAAAATAATGAACAACTTTATCCTTGTTTTCTGTTCAACCTGTGATATGCAAAGAAAAAAATTATGAAAAAAATGTCCACATTTAATTTGGTAATTGCTGAAAATTGTAATCATCAGGTACTGTGCATACATTAAGTGCTCTGAGTTTTGTCATAATAAATATTCGTTCTTGTTTTCAATTTGCAATGCTTCATGAACAAAACAGGTATTTTAGTCTCCTTTTGAAGCCTTCTACATGTAATTATTATTTAAATTTGACCACCCAGAAAATTTTCTAGTTTTAAAAAGCTCAGACCAGAACCCCTGTCAATATTACACCCTTGAGAAGAGCCATAAAAAATGTCACCAATTACCGACTTGCACAGTCAAGTTCCTTTTACTTGTAACTGCATTAATATGTACAGTATTGTATAGCATGAAGCCTTCCCTACACAACTTTGGTAAAGAATAACTCAAGTACAGTGTAGATGTAGTGACATCAGCAACAACCAGCCTATAACATAATGTATTATTTTACATTTATTTATTGTATGGCTAGCTCTGGGAGTTGGCAAGATAAACGGAATCCTGCACTGTGATTGGCTAACCAAGCAGGCAATTCAAGATGGCACTGTCTTGCCTGCTCAGGATTTCCTGCTGTGTCCTGCAAGCAAAATAGTCTTCTTTTTCTATATTAATAATAAATCCTTTATTTGCCAAGCTTGTTCAGTCAAGACAGCTGGATATTGGCCCCTTTTCTTGCGTTTTTATGGACCTCAACTCTGTCTCAGTCCATAAACATGAAAAAAACAAACAAACAAACAAACTGTAAACAAACAAAGAACTTAACCAATATTTAACCATCCCATTTGGTAAACAACCCATAAGTTTCAGTGATAACATGTTAGGTTCTCTGTGTTATATTCTGGTTAAATTAGCTAAAAATAATAATATTTTCTCCAAAAGGATACTTTCCATCTTAATGAGAGGTCAGTTGCAGTGAAAATCATGCATCTGGACTATTCAAGACTTGGTGCTCAGGTATGTGTTATATGATTGACCAGTTTGTACATGTATGTGACTTTATACCATGCCATACAAAATGCAGCCAATCACAATACAGGAAAACCGTTGTATGTATATTCGATGGTATTACACCCCTACTTTCCCATTTTATGCCATGCATATGTCACATTGATTGTGTTAACCACTGTATTTTCTATGGCACAAAGTACATTAGAGTAAAGTTAAAAATAGTTATGCAATGCTCTCTCATGGTACATGTATTCCTTGAAATATTCCACTTGTCACTTGTACAATATATTTTCTCAGTTTACACACTCGCCTAAAGGCGCATGTGTATACAAGAAAAGACAAGTGACTCATGGGATATTCTATGATATACCGTGTACCACGCAAAATCAAATTTGCATATTTATAACTACAGTAGTATGTAGGTTTCTTCGTTATTATTGTTATGAGAGCCAAATACAGGTATGGTACTGCTCAAAAGTTAGTTACCACCTCATGTCACATTTTGCAAGATGCATCTTGTTTGTTGCAAGACATGTCTTGTTTTTCTTGAGATGTGTCTCGTCTCTCTCAAGAATCCCAAAATCATTTGTTATGGAACACAGTACTCACAATTTAAGCCTAACATGCATGTCAAAGACAACTGCTCAATGTACACATAACCAAATGTTTGATCGAATGTGAGACACTGTATGTGACTCACTAGTAATCTCTTGTTCTACATTTTGTATTCATTTCAAACAAACATATCAAGTGTAATGTGAGAACTAGAAGTTTAATGGCTTGAATAGTTTTCTACATGATAAATTAATTTTAATTCCACCTAAATGCATGCCTACACCACACATGCATGCATTTGTGATTTTGGTCAGTTGCCCATGAAAGCAGTCGAGAATAAAATAGTGTCAAGGGCAAGCAACTTTATTTAGCATTTAACATGTGCATACTGAAAATCTGCTCAAAATGGATTAGTTTTCGCTGTCAATTTTCACTTTTTTAACTGCAGGAGGCAGATTGCATTCAGCAGATGAATAAGGCAGATATCCTTTGTGTCTCCAGAACTGCCCAGTTGTAAATGTAAGTCACACATGTACAGTATTTTTGGTTCAAAATGTTTCTTTTAACTGCAGAGGACACAACAATGACAGGGAACAGAGTGTTTTACTCTGGAGTAGATGACCTCAAATTGACAGCTTTGCTGGAAAAGGAATCTAAGACAAAGGTGACGACTATGAAAGTGAATTAATCTCAGCCTCACTTTCAAGGTTCATGTCGTCTCAATCGCATTATCTGAGAGAATGTTTCAGAGAGATGTGTGTTTTTCTCCTTTTTTATGGTAGTGTGCACTGATATAGTGACTGTACTGTATGAATTGAACAGAAAATTGTAAATATTAATTAAAAACACTTACCACTGACTGACAAACACCAAATAATATTATTTTGGACTTTCAGAATGTTTTCAGCTTTGAGGGTCACTATTGTTTGGTGTTTGAGTTGCTATGTCCAAGACCTCTCCATCAATACTTCAAGGTAAGTTGCAAGCATGTTTGTTTCAGGTACAGTACAGTATTAACAGATCATGTTGCATCTTCATAGTATAATTATATTATTGGAACATTGAGTGATCAAGACTTTTCTGTGTTTTAATTTGCAGAAATGTTAGTTTGAAATTGAGGTAAGAAATTTGAGATTATATACATGTAATTTAGAAAAGCATTATATTAATTACTCTACATGTAAACAAAATAAAATAAATTTCAATTTTCTTAAAAATATGACATATTCATGGAAATGCACTGATTGTGGGAAAATGAGGAATTATATTTTTCAGACTTACACCTTCCCTCTGTGTTCATACGAGTTGTAATAGATATAACAAAATTAATAATCTGAGTGTACATTACACGTCCGTGATAATCATGCGATTACAGTACATGTATGTTATTCATATTTCTGTAGGCTTGGTCATCTCATTTCTAACTCAGAAATGTAATTACAACTTATACTTAATTACAACTTATACTTGCTCCTCATAATGAAAACTCTTTCTGTGCTATTTGCTTTGAGCTTATCATGACAGCAAAGAAAGTCATCTCCAGTAACCCTAAGGGCTTAAATGGTTTTGCTGTTGGGTCAGTGAATTCTGTCCTTCTCACTTGTCGTGGGAAAATTTTTTGAGGAAATTCAAATTACAGATTGAAGTAATGTAAGAGATGAAATGACACAATACTTCTCAGCTTGTCATAAACATGATAAATTGTTTTATTAAAATAAATTATTTTTACCAATAGGAGGCAAAGTTGAAAGTGATCAGAAAAATAATGTTACAAGTGAGTATTTTTTTACACTATGAAGTGATAAACAGCAGTGAGATTAAGGATACTGTTATTTTAATTAGCCCCCTCCCCAATATAGGAGAAAGAAAAGACTGTACAGACCTTCACTCTGCAGAATGTTTTTGGCATTTCTTAAATACCTCCTTCTTTTGAGAACCGTTGGATCTACTACTGATTGCAAGTCAATTATCACTTTTATTGTATAAACACTAATGAAATACCAGGTGAGCTTGCTTCACATGTCAAATAACATGTATGTTAATTACTATAATGTTATCTTCACACATGAAAAATCATATTTGCTTAATGCTACAGTACATATTAAATCGCCCCTTTCACAGCAAAAGTGAAACATTTGGTTTTGTATTTCGTTAGTCTTTATACATTAAATAGAACAGCATGGTGCTGTTGAAAAATATTTCAATCATTTGCTGCGCTCACTCATGAAATATTTTTCAGCATTCAAACATGTGAAATCTCTTATCTCTGTGCTGCCTTGTCATATTCTCAGATCTATAGGGTGTTATATCATTATTAATAGTTTAATACCAATATGTATATTATGTGTCGTGCACATGTAGTTTTACATCTCAATAAGAAGATCCTCATGCAATTTAACACTACTGTCTCTATGTATATGTCTTATTTCAGCTTTTACAAGCCCTTGGATTCCTAAAAAGGTAAATTATGGAGGCTTTGAACATAGACAATACTGACAACTGTTCAAGACGGCAAGTGCAAGCTAATGTTCTCATTGGCCACATGTACAACTGAATGATAATACACTTGCAGTTGTCAATGGACCTTTTTGGCGATACAGCGGCCATTTTGAATTCTATTGTTTCAAATAGCTTTAATTATGGGAGGCCCAGGGTGACAAATTAGTATTTATTTGCTCCTGTTATCATTCCATAATTATAGCTATTTA